GGGGGGGGGGGGGGGGGGGGGGGGAGAGGGCGGGATCTATACGATCGGCGGATTATCGAGGTATCGGTTAGTCGGGACACGAGTATCGTGAGTATCGTCCGTGGGGCGTTCCGTCGACGAGGCCGGTCTAGATTTCGCCGAATTCGCCAGCCCTTTTGTATTCAGTATGCACTTAGTTAGGCAACGGAGGAAATAGACACTCTTACAAATGAAGATGGTGGCGAGCTCGCGGATCCGTGTGTTTTTTTTCTCTTCTTGTTTTATCTTTCTTCTTCTCTTTTTTTCTTCTTCGCTTTTTTGCTACCTACTCGTATTTCACCGTCGACGTGGGCGACAGGCGTCGTCTCAGGTGCTTCACCGGACCCTCTGTTCTGGCGCGTGAGCGCAGTGCTGGGTGAGATCCTAACGTGGTTCTAGGTATCCTGACTGGCGGAGGATGTATTGTCTCGAATTGACGGATTCGTCGCAACGATGTTGTCCTCGTTCTCTCGCTGCCTCTCCCATGAGAACTCGAGAATATTAATCTAAATCTAACTGATACAAATTACTCGACTTCTAATCGGCTAGTCGTTTGTTCTTCTCTCCTCGACATCGAGGGATTAATCTTTCCGAGTTCTTCGAGAAGTTCTCTTTCAGAGAAGGCTCGAGCCCGCACACCGTTGCGCGGAATCCTCCGATTTGCGGTGGCGTATTCAAATTTGGAAAAGCACTCGCGGCTGAGATGGTCCGACGTGCTCTTTCACTCTTTTACTTGAGTGGCCTCCTCCCTCTTTCTCTCTTTCTCCCGTATCTTTTTGCCTGATCGAAAATCCCGCGCTCGCAGCTACATCAGCGTTTAGACACTATACACAATACGTAAGTATATCTAGACGTACTACGTAGTAGAAACTTTTGAATATAGTAGCGTAATTTCCGGAGTTGCGTACCCGCCCGCGGCTGTGCGCGCAGGCCGGACGATGAAATTCATCGGATTCGACGTCGCGTGCAACGTGCTCTCTTTTGCGTTCTCACGGAGGGATCCGACCGAAGCTTCGTGCGATCGCGGGAAATTATTCAAGGCTTCGCAATATCTGTTAATTCATTTTTATTTATCCGTTGACACGAATCGCCGTGAGAGGTGCGTCGCAGGCGGCGCGTGTCGCGCGACGCGTTTCTACGAACGGACGAACTGCCCTTAGGTACAAGAGACGAGATGTACAAGACGCGATGACAAGCTAATACACGGTATAGTAGTAGCAGCAACAGCAGCAGAGTAGCGATGGTATCAATAGTTGTAACGTGTCCAGCCTCGTGTTTTGGAACGTGTTGTCGTACAAGAAGCAGCGGTCGCTAGGGAGTGAATCGAAGCTACAGCATGATTATACGACAGCGAGACTATACGAGGGTGTAAGAGTTGAATTTTGGGAGATCGATCGATCGCTGGCACGCTCGCCAGTTCGTAGAAAGAGGATTCCGTGCTTGTCCAATGTCGATGTTCGCACTCCCAGCGGAGTCAGGACGCGAGGAGTTTACACGGAGAAAACAGGTATGGTTGACACACACGTAAATCTGGTTGGCATAACCAGATTTGTGTGTGAGCCGGCCATACTCAGTGTGCTCATAGACGTCGCGTTTTTCGTTCGTGGTTCGTGAGAGGTTGCACGTCGCTCGCGCGGAGCTCTCGAAGCTTTCGGGCGGATCTCGGTATCGTTCGCAACAAGCAGCAGCAGCCATCACCACCACCACTACTACCACCACCACCAGCAACAGCAGCAGCAGCAGCAGCGGTAGCCAGCCAGCAACAGCGGCGGCGGCGGCGGCGGCAGTGACAGCGGCGGCGGTCAGACTCTTACGATCTCTGATATCCTTAATAAGAATAAGAACGTTTTTACTTTACAATTACAATGCCTAGTTTTATTTTTTTTCTTTTTATTACTAACGAGGGCGCGCCGTGAGTGACGGTCAGGGCGCGCCTGTTTGGTCGTACGCAATGCTACATTTAAACTGTATATTAGAAAAAACTTCTTCGTCAACAACGTGTTTCACGTATCTACAGTAAACTCGCCCTCCCGAACAAACGGCTTAGAAACACGGTCGTGTCGCGAAAGTCGTGTGTTTGTGGATGTTTGTATGTTTTTCCTTTTTATGTGTCTCTGTGAATGTGTACGTGTGTATGTGTGTGTGAGTGCGTTATGCGGTCCTCCTCGTTCGCGTTTTGCCTCGTTCCCGTGTGCTCGACTACACTCCCTTTCAGACACGTGCGATCGCGTGGCGCGGGGACCGCGCGGACCCGCGCTCCTACGTTTTCTCATTCTCTTTGTCTCCCCTGTTTCTTCTGCTCTTCGAGGTCAGTCTTTCGGTGACCGGTCCGCGATCGAGAGAGTCCCGTCGTCGCGTTTTCGAAGCACCGTGCGAGTTCCCCGATGTGATCTCGTCCTATCTTACGTTACGAATATTACCAAATATATTGCGTACTGGCAGCACTGTTTTCACGTTATCGCGTCTTCGTCGAGACACACTCTCTTTCTCTCTTTGTGTTATCTCTCTCTTTCTCTCTCCTTCCCTTTCTCCTTCGTGTTCCCTTTCTTCTCGTTCTCGCTCGCGGCACTCGCACGAAGAAGAGTCCGATGTATATTCCGTGTTGCTTTATACGCGGGGCGTCGCGCTTGTGTTGCTGTCGAGCTCTGTCTTTCCTTGTCTATCTAAGTAGTTCCGCGAAAGGGCGACGGGAGCCACCCTTTTCTTATTGTAGTAGTTACCGGACGAACGTCGCGTGCCACGCGGGCTTGACCCTCATAGCTCGTCGTCTCAGCTCGGGATCTGTGGAAGATAATTCCCGGTGCATCGTCGCTGTCCAGGGACGGGGCTAAAGCTCTGTGACTCGTGTAAAAAAGGGAGAGGAATACGTTCGACCGAACTCTGCGGCGCGAAGGAAGCCGGAGGGTCTAGGTTCCGTAAGATCATCGAGTCTCTCGCTATCTCTCCGCGGAGGATGACCGTCCCTTCCAGTTGTGTGTCGCGACGAGCGGAAGGGTTCGGGCGATCGTTTTCGCCAGGCGATGCGTGAGATTGCGCGTTAACATACCTTTCTCTCTCTTTCTCTCGCTCTCGCGTGTCTTTCTTTCTCGCTCTCTGTCTCTCACTCACACTCACTCTTTCGCTTTCTCTCGCTCTCTTTCTCTCTTTCTCGCGGAATTAGTCGTGAAGGGTTTCGTTCTCGTGGCACCAAAGGTCAAACGCTACCCCCTTTGGACGGCCTCCTGCTCCCCTTCGGGCTCTTTCCAAGCTCGAAGTACTCGAATCGCTTCGCTCGTCGGCTTAACGCGGCGTCGCATCTTCTCAAGTGGGATTCGGTAGCGGGGTCTCCTGCCTGATATCGCTCTTCAGTTTCACGAACTCCTTGGCGATCTCATCGTTGTTGCGCTGTGAGAGAATGCGCAGGATCGTCCAGCCGGTCTCGTCCATCTGGATACGCTTGCCGAGTGATAGCCAGCACGCGCATGAGCCCTCGTCGACGATGTCCTTGAGCTGCATCACCGCGACTCCGACGAGCCTGTCCTCTCTCGCGAAGCAATAGTCCTTCACACAGATATGCAGCTCGTGGAAGTCCAGCTGCTGCTGCTCGTTACCGATCATGCTGAGAACAGAAGATACGGAGTCAGGTTTGTCATGTGGTTTGTCATGTGGGAAATAATACACAGCAAACGTGTTAAAAAATTGAAATGAGAAGCGCCACTAACAAGTCAAAGCTCTCGTTGAATTGCGGCGACCAGTTGTTGCTCTTTGACTTCGTCGACTGTTTCCTCTTCTTGCCGGCGAGGTGTGGACCGATCAAGTTCACCTCGACATACGGTCTGAACATACCCGTCGCCAACTGCCACTTCAAGTCATTCGCAGCCACGACTGAAAATGTAAAATTTCATTTTAGATTATCATCAAGGCAAAGCCGAAAAATTGGTTTCAAGAATGAAAGAATTTTGATGAATATTTCTCTTTTGCGAGAAAGCAAAGTCGCACCTTTGACGGTGACCTTCTGATCTCCGGTTCCCGGATGCGTGAAGAGATCCACCTGGATGCTCACCTCGCCCACTGAGCCTTCGTCCGAACCGGCGGTATCTGAAACTTCATGAGTTGCAGTCAGAGATTACGGCCATGTGTGAAACGTCGCGAAACTAGAGTGGCATCTAAATACTACACGCGGGCCTCGTTTGGTTCTACCCAATCTGCTATGACCAAACGCTAAAGGCTAAGGATCTATTTCTCGATCGCTATCTCTAGAGCAGATTACATGCTCCAATAATAGGCGCGTCGCATTATCCTCTCGTCGGCGTAACTGCTACAGAGAGAAGACGAGGTCAACCTCTGTGAGGTTTTCGCACGTGTAAATCGTACGAACGGCTCCCTCGCCTATGTCCGAGCTGGTAAACGAGAATAAATCGGTTGCGGTGTCTCGGAAAATCTCAACGACCATCTCCGAGAGTTCAGTGCGTATGATACAGTGATCCGTGCAGCCGGTCGATCGAATCCTCTCTTCAGGTACTTTGCGCTATCTTCGAGTCCTCGTGGTAAGACCAAGATGGTACACAGCGCTACACTTAGGCGAGTAAGTTTGTTGCGCGCTCATAAAAAAATTGTGGAGAAATCTGTGTGACAGTGATTCTGTGATCGAATATTAAAAAGAGTCTCCTTGACGCGCGTGTTACGTGTATCGCGTTGCTTTTAGTGTGTCAAAGCGTTGTGTGTTGAGAGAAACAAACATGTAAGAGAAAGAAAGAGAGAGATCTTTTGCGGATCACAAGTTCGCGGTAGTAGCAGCAAGAGTGGCGGCAGTTAGCAGCAGCGGCAGTGATAACAGCACAGCTTCCTAATACAGCTGTCGATCGTCGAGACGTCTTTGGAGTGTATTCTTCGAGAATGATAACACATACCACATAGCAAATCAAGTTAGATGGAGAGACTCGAGATCGTTAATTATTCTTCTGTATATGATTATAAGTAGATAAACATAAAATAAATTTCAAACAAAACTGAACGGAAGAAATAAGTACACAATCTGAAAGAACTACTGACCACCCCCTAACTAAATCCCTTTAACTAAAAGAGTAAATAAATCTAAATATAATCCAAAAGAAAAAGAAATATAATTCCGTTAAACGAAACTTCGCGAAAAAGGAAGAGGGAAGAACGGAATTACATCATCGAAAGACGTCCCGATCGACGACACAACAATCAATTCACTACATCCTAAAAAAGTAGTTGCTCCCCCGACACTTGTAGCGACCTTCTAAGGCGCCCTTGGTGTACCTTGTCGGCTCTCTCGACGAAGAGAGGGCTTGCTCTGGCGAAGGGGTTCCTCGAGGCTTTCCATACCCTCGGCTCCTTCCCCTTCGTCACCTCTCTCGCTGCTCATCGAACGCTGACGCTGACGTAGCGTTGACGCGTCGTTCAGCGGCACTGTCGCGACAATTTTTATTACGTCGTGGTGAGTGTAAAAAACGATACGTGTGGTACGCGTCCGGACACGTGTAATAGAACAGATCGTCATGTGTCGACTAGTATCTGTGTGTACGTGTGTGTTCCTGACTATGGATCACTACTTCTCCGACCGCGACTTGGTTACTTCGTCGTAGCGCAACGTGGCAAAACATATATAAAAATAATAGTCGTTACATATCGTCGCTCGTACAATTCGTAAATATGCAAATGACGAACCCAAGCAACATATGTACCTTGATTGACTTGGGAGGTGACAAAGGTCTTTATGAGAGTGTCCGTCGTCTGCGTGTATAAACTCAGCGCGTAACGGAGGCTCTGCAATTCAGGCGATTTCTCCAGGAACGCTTTCTTCAGGCCGCTACCGCCAGCATGGAAGTACTGCTTGATTGTGTCGAGAGCGACGTCGAGGATCGCGCATTGCTTCGGCGAAAGATTCTTCTCCACTTCCTTAGAGATATCCTACGAGGATAAAAACTACTGTAAAGCGGCTCTTCAATAAAGAAGAAAATTCAAGTTTTTCTTTTGTAAAATAACAATTTGAGATATGTGAGAGAAAGATCTTTTAATTACCGAAAGCACAAATCATGGCGTGAAAGACAACAAAGAAAAAGGAGTAACAAAATACACAAGAAAATGTGAAAAAGAGGAAAGTGAAAGAAGAACAAAATGTGATTGATTACCATGACTCCGCTGAGGGCATTTTTTACGTCGGGTTTGCCAGCCATATGGTTCTTGAACAGCTTCGACATATCCTCTATCTTGGCGTTCGCAGCGAGATTCTTGGCGTTGTCCGTTAGATTCTTGAACATCATCTGCGAGAAGCAAGAGAATTACAATAATCTCGCCGTGATACATTATGCTCGACGATACTTCAACGATCTTTCAAAGCTGAAAATTCAATCATACGGGCAATACGTACGCTCTTGTCCGTCATAGGCGGCAGAACAACGGTCTTCTCCAGAATCCTCATCACTATCTTCCACAGTTCCTTGAGAAGCCTCTTCAGCACCGTCTTCTCGCATGACTCGGCGTACACAGACAGGCTACCGTCAAGTAGTACCATGAGCGGTCGCAATACCTCGTCCGCCTCAACAGCCACGTTGTTTCTCTGCGCCGATTGTGACAACGGGACCTGTCCGCCACCTTTGATGGTTAACAGAACATCTCCCACTTCCTTAACTGAGCCGGTTATTCGTGGTTCTAAACTATTCGCGAAGAGCACCGCCAGATCATCCAGAGCACCGTTCAGTTGTTGCTGCAGGTCCTTCAATATGTTCGCTGCATCCGCCTCGAGCTTATCGCCGCCCATTGACTCAAACATCTTCTCCAGCTGCACCCGAAGTTGCTGGATGTTGTTCATCAGAATGCATGCCTGCGAAATAAAGCGATTTAATTTAGCCGTGCCCATGTTGAGTGAATTTTTCAGTAGACTTGCATTTATCGAACACATACGATTCGTTCCTCCTGCAGATTACTCGGGAATTCCTTCTTGACTATGTCCGCGTAGGCTAGCAACACCTTGCTTATGGTCTTGGCGAACCTCTTCATGTATCTCTTCCAGATCTCCGGGTCTGGGCACTCGAGCTTCGATACCACGTCGAAGCATTGCGTGAGCTGCGTGAAGACGTCGACGACGGAGACGCTGAAGAGCGCGTGCTCGCTGCTCTTCTGGAACTGTAAGAAGAGAAGTCGAAGGCATTAGAAGAACAGCAAGTAGAGTTTAATTGGGATTCAAAATAGAGACGGGCATAGATAGCGACGGAGGAACTTACGCCTTCCTTTTTATCTCTACTAAAGGCACCATGGAGATATTCTAATGACACGTCGTCGTTCTCGTTGAGCCACTGCATGACGAAGGGCTCGAACCAGGCTGGGTATTCCGGCACAGCGCCCTTATAAGGCGGCACATCCTTGACGTAGTTGGCGTGTAGCCATTTGACCTTGAAGTGCAGGTTCATATAGGCCGAGGACTTGCACAGTCTATGCTGCTCATGTTCCTCCAGGGCATACTTCATGTCGACCGCGAACAGAGACCACATGGTGGCTGCCGACAGTTGACCGATGTTCAGCTCCTGAGGGAATTGATTCAACACGGGCGCATAGCTGTTCTTGTCCTCCTCGATGACCGAGACGATCAGGGCGATCAGCTTGTGCCAGAAGTCGAGCGAGTCTAATCGCGGCCCGTGATCGTCAGAGTCGCGCTTCACCTCGTTCGGGTCGGTCTGGAACTCCCGATTGTACAAATCGTAGCAGTTCTCGAAGAGGAACTGATACGTCGAGCGCAGGCACGCCTTCACGCAATCCTTCACGACGGTGCTGGCGCGCGGCGGGCTCGACAGTTCCTGCACCTTCATGCGGAAGAACGTGATGCTCGTCAACAGGTCCACGGTGCTCTTCAAATCCATCAGTTTCTCCTGGCTCGAGGCTGGGAAGTTGTTCCTGTACATCGACAGGTCGATCCGCAGGGAGTTGTGCAGCTGGTCCAGCAGTTTCACGAATTTCTCTTTCTGCAAGAAGAGAAGAGTTTCTCGCTTAGTTCCCGTTATCGAAGGTAACTCGTTTTCTTTTTTTCTTTTTTCGTCGGCAAATTCGCTGACGTCGATTCTTTTCTTCCGACCCGAACTCTTTTCCGATGCGGCAGCCGCGCACTTTTCGCCCTGAGGAAGAGCGAAATTATCGGACCCCTGCTACCGTAGCAGTTCGCGAAGTTCTTCCGACGTATCACCAGGGCTCGGCGAGTTTCGCGTAATATTTTCGAGGTGCAGTGTCATGCATAATTCAGAAATATGAAAAACACGCTTTCCATACACTACCGTTCACTTTCGGAATTAAGAGACCCGCGAATCTAAATGTCCCGCGAAATTTCGGCCCGCGTATTATCGCCTTCGGTTTCATCGCAGTTGCCACGAGGGAACGTCGCGCGCTGAAAAATTTCCATATTCCCGACGCGGCGAGAAAAACCAACTCGGTCAGCCTTGGCTGCCAGTCAGCTGAAATCCAGACGGCGACTCGGAAAGAACGCGGTCGAAGAAAATCTTAATTAAAATCTTAATTAACTAGCGTGCATCGAAGCAGCCCGCCCGCCATTCTTTTCACCTTCCTTCGGCGAAAGTTTGCAGGCTAAACGGTCAGCAATAAACCTATGACCATAAACACGACACGAACTTGACTTCTTGACCCGATTGCGGATTTATAATCGAGACTTGCGAGGAAGGGTATTTCTCTCGTCATAAAGCGCCAGAGGGACGTAGTCCCTTCTCGGTGAGATTTGCTTCCGACTCGTCTTTACGTTAACGAAGGATCGTTTGCGTTATCGTTCTCGGGGATAATCCCCATGTCCAATTCCGCGATTCGCATTTTACTCGGAGCCCCCGATGCAGAGAGCGCATCGGCAGGTCGCTTGATCCGCCCTCTACTTCTCTCCCTCCTTGGAAAGTTCAACGAGTAATTATTGGGAGATTCGCGTCAGCTGATCCGTTATTCGCGAGCCATGAGGACGTAATTGATAGGGTCGGCTGGCGGGCGGGCTGGCGGCGCGTCCTTGCACGAGTCAACACGCGCGCTCGTCTCCAGGATATAGCGGCCGAATACGGACGGGTCTCGGTATAACGGATGGCGCCGGTCGCCAGGAAATTGCAGGAGTATTTCTCGCCGCTCCCAGTCGCCGTCCCAGCATCCTCCATCCTTCACTCATCCTCTTCACCCCTCGTGCTCGCGCGCGCGCTCGGCGCCGCAACCTTCAACATCCGGCACTCACCCCGAAGTTACTGGCGGCAAATCTATCACTGGCCGACACGGCCGGACTAGCGGTCGTGTGGGCGTAGTACGCGTTTATGTTTGCCAGGAGGGTCGACATCACGGCCGGAACGCCTGGGCACAGGTACTTGGTTGATAGGCAGTGGAAGTGCCTGCGGAGAAGATACGAGACCGATTCACCACGCAGCCGAGATTAGAGAGTCCGCGTGTGTCTCGCGACGAAGAGGACGACGATACCGCGAGTCATCGCGTCTTTTTCATCTCCCTTTTCATCTCTTTGATAGCTTGTCGCTCTTATCTCGGACAAACAAGTCCTGTTTGACTGCGATCTTGATCTCGATCTTAACACGTTCGCTACACAGCTCACATTACATATTTTTTCATGTGATTGTGCACAATAGACTTGGTTCATATGTGAATATACTATACAAAGAAGATATCGTTGTCATGCTCCAAACGTGACGTTGGTCAGCGAATATGTTAAGTAAAAGACTGAAAATTTTTAGTAAAGATGAGTTTGAACTATGAGAGATCGGTGTGTCGCACATGTGTGTGACGCTGGTAGTGAACGTGTTAGTTTCAGATTCTAATTTTGATTTTCAATATCGTGGCTTTTACGTCGACGACGAGAAAATTGCTTATTCGCCACCTGAGAGGTATCTTAAGAGAAAGCGAGATTAATTCTACATGGTGATACCACAATACGAAAGGTGAAAGGTGAGCGATTCCTGTTTACTCACGTCATCGCCTGGTAGATACTCTCGATGCCGTAGCGCATTGCAAACTCGTCGACCAGCTCCTCGCCGGGTGGATCAAAGTAAACTTTCCAGGCGTCGTCGCCCTTTGCCTGCGGTAAGGTCACCATGCCGCCGTTCTCCTCGCACAGACTGTGGAAGAGGTTTTCGTGCAGGCAGGTGTACTGCACGTGGTAAGGTGCCACCTTCTCCTCGCCCTTGATCTCGACGCTGATGTGCAGCCGAATGGCGCCCGACACCGCGCTCTTGTCCGTCCGCTTCTCCAGGTTGTACCAGACGTCCATCTCACCGCTCAAGGTTCGCACCTCGATGATGGTCTGCCCGAGGAAGTCGTCGCTCTCCCTCGTCAGCTTTTGTCGCAGCTTCGACTTCAGGTCGTTGTCTTCATCCCACACCCGCACCTTGATCCGGTCGGACGAATTGTGGCATTCGCTGTGAAAACGGGAATCTGTGCTCGAATCATCTCCGCCTTTTAAGTTAGAACAGTGTCGCTCTGCGCGGCTCTCAACGTCTCGTAGTCGATTGACGCGAAGCAGACGTTTTACGTGTGATTACTCTCTAAATTTCCCCGAGTGAAATTCCACTCGTACAGCAGAGTGACAGCCAAATTCGAGTGACCTTTTACTTATACAGAGTGAATTCTCTCACTTGAAATCGCTGGGTAAATATTTTCCATCTTTCTTACTGACTGTGTATCTCCTGTGCCTTTATGAATCAATGTGAGTATTTTCACTCGAAATTGAAGAGCGAATCTGACTGACGTACTTCACCACCTCATTGGGACAAATTCACTCTAATTGATTGACACATTCACTCGTGCGGATTAAGAGGACGCCAGATAATTCAGCATCGTGTTTTTCTATTTGGTTATATGGAATTCCAGATGCTTGAAAGCAAAGTGAAAGCACAAATGTCAACGCGAATGGCAGAGAGAATACCTCATATTATATAAAAAATTAAAAACAATTTATATTTATCAGATTTCCTTCGATTTTCATACAAGTGTGTGCATTCCGTCGTACATTGGCATTTGTATCTTTCAATCTGTACAAGCATTTGCGATTCTACACAACCAATTGAAAAAACAGTGCATAATACGAAAGTTGCATTGCGTCGGCATCCAGCATCCCCTCAGGGCTTCACTCTACGGTTCAAGTGGAACGTTCACTCTCGTGATTCCGAGTGGCAGCATTTTCACTACCGCTCCGAGCGAGATTCTCGTTTTCGGTGGGGTGTCACTTGAAGAAATTCGCGGAACAATGCTTCAACGTGCACCGCTTTTTCCACGAGCATCTCTGCACGGAGAGATCTCACAGGGAGAGATATCGCGTGATTCTCTTTAAAATCGACAATGCGTCGTCGCTTGTTGAAACGAGCCGCGAGAAATTCGCTAACGGGATTGAAGATGACGCGAAATTATGCATTCCGCGGGCGTCGCCGACCGAAGTTGTCGGCATTACTTACAAGTAAAACTTCTCGTGCCACACTGGATTCAGCTCCCGCGGCATGGTTCTCGTGCGCTTCTTTACTTTACCCACTTGGACCGTCACGTAGGGGTCGGATGTGCCGCTCTTATCTTTGGCGATCAATCCCTGAGCGCTGATCACTAATCACATGGTGGAAGAATAATATTAGATCACCGGCTGTTCACCAAGACCGGGGAGTGCCTGGAGTACGCACGACGGAGCGTAACCGAGTCCGAGTTTCCCGCTCGCCGCGAGCCGTGGATTTGCGATCTCGCGATATATCCATAATGCGATTACTATGAGACAATACCGTCGAACGTAAACGTTAGCTTCGCTGAGGTTCGCCAGCTGGCCGTTATCCAAGAACGCGACTGTCGACCGGCTTCGCGCAATAAAGCTAACAAAATCGAACGTCCGGCGGGGAACATCTGTTTGCACGGAACCGCGCGAAAACACGTTGACGCCGTAAATTCACATTTATTTTTATTATTACGAGCGCGACTGATGATACGTGCGTTCGCCGAATAATTCCTTCTCCTGCTCGCGAATCAATCTTTCCCCTCCGCGATGAACGAGCTAGAGTCCCTCAAGCAAAAATCAGAACACCGCGTGATGATTCCTAATGGAATCGGATCCGCTGTTAATAGGAAAGAAGCGGGTAGGAGTGAGAGAAACTCTAGTATGAGAGAGAAAGAGAGAAGCTATAAGGCTCGCATTAATAATCACTACTTGAAACTTGTCTCACGTGAGATACTCAGATTTGAATTCAGAGTTAATTAAAGTTAATTTTCAGTTGAATCACACGATATATGTGTAATTCAATTGACATTACATTTATAATCGCGAGTCAACTGAAAAGCTCACATCTAACACTTTACATTCAAATCTGAATGTCTTATTTGAAATAAGTTTCAATTATCAACTATTAATACGAGTCATAGACTGAAACGACGAAGTACGTTGCAGCGTTTCGCTCTCACTTCTTCCCTATAAGTAGCAGACGGTATCCTAACTCGTGTACTGAGAGAAAAAAATAGATCTAAGTAAAATTATAGTTACTTTTGGCACTAACCATATTTTTCGTAGTAAGATGATAATAGTGACATATGAATATAAATTCATCATCACTAACATTATAATAGAATTTGATAAAAAATAGTTTTCTTGACCATAAGTTGGAGTAATTAGTTCTCTGCGTGATTATAGCTACAGATACTCGATATTTTTTTCTCCGTGTACTTGAGGGACTTCTAGAAAGAACGAGTTTGCGGCGGAGACGTGATAAACGCGAGAGGATTTCGAATTCGCGACTCGACAACCCAACGAGGCCTCCGAGGGAACGGCTGACTCGCGCTGCTCAAGGAGCAGTCCGATAAACGAGCCGGGAATTACGATCTATTCTGCGGGCTCATCGTATCACTCCCGGACGACGGCTATTCGTTTCGAATCGACGATATGGACGATCGACCGCAGACGCGTGGTTACGAGGCCTCAGGAACGAGCTCGTGAGCGCGTCGCCGAACGCGAAGCAATCAAAATTTTACTGTCTCGTCCCCGATCGCGACTCGACATATGCGTATTTTATACGCATTCTCCGTCGCCGTTAATCCATAGCTTACGTCCGCGAATTCGCGGATTTCGCGACGGCCAGTACCGTACCAGAGACAAAAAGACTGCGATTCTACAATTCGCGACGAACCTGACGATGAAAGTTGCGACGATATAAAGCAGTAAGAGAAGAGAGTTGCCGAAATCGTACCGATCTCCTAACTCGCACCTTATCAATTGCACTCGATTTTTGGAAATGTTTGCACACTGAGAGAAGAAAATAATTGACCTAAATAAAAATCATAGTTACTTATAGTTAATTTAACTAAATAACTAAAAATCTCATAGTTATTTTTCAACTATATTTTTTGTAATAAAATAATAGTAGCAACATGCATATAAGTTTGTTATGACTAATATTATAGTAGAATTAATGAATAGTAGAATGAAAGAAAATAATTTCCTACATTACAATTTATAGCAATTATTTCTGTACGTGATTACGGCCAGAAATATCAAGCATTTTTACCAGAGTAGTACGCACAAAATAACATGCAAATTTTTTGTTTACATTTCTCACACTGCTCATTTGTTTCTCTTTTCCACATTTAGTTTTTACACTCAGTTCTCTTTTTCGTTCAATAATTATATGGAAATTGATAAAGCAAAATTTAGAAGACCGGTACGAGAGATTTCAGCAACTCGCCCTTAATTACAACCGACCGCTCGCTCACTATTTGATGCTGCCGTGGACTTTTGAAAGGCACGCCGATGGAAATTCGAGTTCGGCACGCATTGACGCGACGCCACGTGTCGACATGAATGCCCGCGGAAGCCCGCTTCGATTTCTTGTCACGCCGCCGTCACGATTCTTCGGACGTTCATGGACGGTGGTCGGCCGGCTATTTAGAAGGAACTTTTCGCCCAAGCGTTTCATATTCATCTATTTGCACGTGCCGGTCGAATGAATAAATATGAGAATCCGCTTTATGTGCGGGAATTTAATTAAAAGAAACAGCCAGCTCGCGAATTCCGCGGGACTTTTTGCCGCGCCAAGTATTCGCGAAATTGAGAAATCGGTGCTATTCCGTTGCACATGTATCTTCCATTATTAAATAGCGGCCCGCGAAATTTCGGCGTCTCGCAATCAAGATAATTTATTTCTCGCAACGGCGGAAGGAACGATTCGCGACGAATATTCGATTTCGCCGCGAAATACGAAAACGTAAGCCATGCACCGAATCGATCCGAATACATCAATCAAATCGATCGGTGCTTTTAACGGACGTTTGTCGGGCGGCAATTTGTCACATTACGTAGAATCACGCGGCGCCCGAAATTGCGAATCAAAGTTTTTGTGCGTCTCATGTAGATGCATGCAGAGGCTCAACATCCATCGACCGGACACACACGATATGTATATATATATATACATACATATATATCGATCGTGATAGCCACCTGAAGAAAGCGTGCAAAAGCTCGGCGTGTGAGTCACGTAAATATAATACTATGACAATGTGCGGAGCGCGTGAGATTGCGATTCGCGATTCCGGGTTTCACGGCGAATGCTCTCTTCCGCAGACTGGACTCCATTTTGGCTTTCTTCCACGCGCACAGTAAGCAATAAACAAAATCTCAACTTGGCTGTTGGTGTCATCGAGGCAATTGACCCGGCAGTTCAGCTCTCGACGACGATCTCAACGAGCCTCTCTCTTCGCCTCTCTGCTAGGAAAGCTCGCCGTGAAACCTCGCGAACTCTCGCACTCTGATAACACGCACGTGTGTGTATGTGTATATATGTATGTATGTATGTATATATGCATGTATATATATGTATAGTATATGTGCGTAATGTATACATACACATGGGCGAATAAACATATATAGACGTAGAAACATATGTGAACGCAGAAACATAAAGGGAGAATATTCGGAGTATAAATGGGTAGATATATGTTATAATATATACTCTCTCTAAAGTACAATCAGCGTATTCTTCACTGAGTAAATGCTGCATCTATAACTGGTGGTTCAGCTATAAGTATTCAGCACTGCAATCAATAAAATCTCGTCGAAAGGATCAGGTGATCAGCGGTCACTGTTCCAATTGTTGATGCGGACAGACAGTGTCATCATACGCATGGCGCACGGAAGAGTCGTCAGTTCCACCGTCGTAAAAAGTTGGATTCGATGCAAAATACAACGAGTTTGAACTTTTTGCAGAAAAATTTTTCCTTCACCGATCAAAATTAGTGAGGCATAAAACGGAACAGTAAAATGTAATTTCATTAGGAATAATTTCACCAGCGAATATTCACTGATCACCGGTGAAATACTTTTCTTTTACCGACTCGATCAGAAATGTTTCTATCGATTCACTTTAAGAGAGTGGAGAAACGGAGAGTATATTACACATATATATAATATGTATGTATAATATTATTATATAGATATATAGTTAACGTGCTGCGATTCTCGGATCGACGGACAGACACACATGCCCATGCTACTAACTCTTTTGACTCGCACCGCCGATTGCAGTGGGACGATCGCCGATGCTTCCTGCCCTCGACGAATGTCGATTTCACACCTAATCTCATTAATCATCGAGTCATCGCCACAATCCACTTGGTGAGATGTCGAGAGTCTCAGGGGCGCGTATCCGTGTGTGAGTATGTGTGTGTGTCTCTCTCAATGTGTGTTGTGTTGTAATTCGCGCGCATGAACCGCGCTGCAGCGTGTGTGTTGTGTGTGTGTGCGGCGCATCACGTAATCATGTGTAATCGCACTCCACCGGTTTGACGTAAATCGCGACGCATTGGACTTCACTGACTTAACGTTAATTAGCGACGCGAGGATATGGCGATTGAAAATCTACGCGCCACCGGATTCGAGCATCGACACGCGTCGGTCACTCGTTCGACCGCGCGAAGCATTTAAGATACGCCGGCGAGAATAAATCGCGCGCGAGGTGCCGTGGGAAATGCGCGGAGTCGCGTATATAAATCCATTACGGGACACAAGCGGATTTATCGACGGCACGTCGAACATTTCCTGCCATTAAACGATACAATATACGAGAAATGCGGAGAAAGGGAGAGAAAGAGAAAGAGAGAGGGAAAAAGAGAGAGATGCATGCGACTTGCATGTTCACGACGTCGCGTTCTACGTAACCCGTTATTATTATGATTATTATAATAAAACTCGTCATCTCGTCAATTTAATTCTCAAATAAATCGAGTAGCCGAGATGAGGTAATATCACGCATGATGCGCGCGCTCTATAGACACGCGTCGCGTTACAATACGTGTAAACGCAAACGGAAGGAGAAAGGTAAAACGGGTAGGAGAAAAAAGGGAAACGTCGTTTCCACTGTTGTGCGCCGAGTGACCGTGATACGTACTAACGTGTCGCAATTATCATCGGTATCGAGCGTATAATTTCCCGTTTGCGTGTGCGTTACGAGGTTGATCGTTATCAGCGCGTATCGATTCTCCACATGTTAAGCTGCCGTCCAATCTCGCGCGGCTACATACACACTCCGGCGCATACTGGCATACACACACACACATACACGTCGCTTAATTTG